TATTTAATAACACAAGTAACTAAATAATAGTGTAACTCAAGAACTATTGTATCAAACCATTAATAACCAATTTCAATACCATTTGCCTTCTTTACGAAAGGATAAGTAATATTGTACAAAACGCAAAAGTATTTATTTTTCAGATAACATGTAATTCTTCTTCATTTTCCTTTAGCTCTTCTTCGTTGGAATATATTATAGATGCACCTACTCTGTGTTTGACGAGAATACACGTCATTATTTGATTTCATTGCGAGCATTATCAGAGATTTTTGAAATTAAATTCCACAGTTAATAGATTAACCCTTTGTACTCGTATGTCATGCTGGAGATGAAAATATAAATTTGTTATAGAACATTGCAAATTGTTTTTAAAAGTACCACACTTTAAAAAATTATAAAAATTAAAATGTATACCGCTGTAAATTGCTTTAATTCATTTTTAACATCATTGAAAATAAATTGAGTGCAAAGGTTTAATATTGCGGAGTCTTAATGAATTCCCATGGACACAAAGAATCGTCGAAAAAGTTCGGCGCGGCGCAGACGCCATTATGCCGCACCGCGACGCGACGCGCTTCCGCCTTCGTCCCTTGAAATTACAGACCGTCCTGGAACGCGATAAATTACAATGTATCGGCGTGCGAACGTGCGCCTCACGCATTGTTGAATCGTTTATGGTTGAACCTGTAATTATTCAGGCTGTTTCGTTGAACGTTCTCCTCGGAGAGATGGCAACATCCGTTGGTTTTCGGGAACGGACGCGATGATAAAATATACAGGACGCTTCTTAATACACGCCTCTCGGAGTAATTTCTGTAACGACTACTAATTTTATGAAATAATTCTAGCGGTTTCTCTTTAACGTTCGCTTCGTCGTTTCTTTACGAGAAGTTTCTTGAGAGCCTCTTTGAGGTAATCTTGTTTTATATTGCACCCGGGAAGTGTCTTGAACGTCTCTTTAAGATTGCTTTTCTTTGATAATCTGCCTCGATTTACGCGCTTCAAAGTTTTCACTCGAGATTTAGAAAAGTATTTAAGGATTCAAGTGTATAAATATGGTGTTGTTCTTTAAATAAAGTGAATATATTCACTCGAGAAATGAACCATAAATACAGACAAGCAATTTACTTAAACTGACAAACACGATTAAAATGATGTACACTTTGTAATAGTTCACTCAATACATTACATATTACAAAAAAAAATTGAAACTCGGTAAAATATCATTCACATAATCAATGAAACTCTTCAGTCCTTAAGAAACCCAGATCAAAATTCTTTCAAAATAAAAATTCACCTACACTTCCCATATATATATATATAATTCTGAATTTCAAAGATGAACCAAAACAACATCAGAAACTCCAAAAAATCAATATAAGTATCTAAAACCCAACGAATGCTTCGTGTATCTCCGTGTCTGCATAATCTACCACTGTTTTTTTCCAATGGAAAGTATGAGAAGAAAGACAAAAGAAAAATCGCGGACTATCGTAGAAAATGTGGTGCACGAACCAGTGAAAAACCAGCAGCCACTTACGTCGCAATTCTTATCGTGCGGGTGCATTTCCGGTGATACAGTTTGCCTGGGAAAGGGAGAGGAGCTGGTTGCAGGAGGAAGAAGGAGAAGAAGAAGAAGTAACGGGGTTGCAGACCCGTCTCGTGGACGAGTTCGTCAATGTCATCAGCGCGCGAGGAATATACCGTTCGATCTCGAGCACGTTACCGGAGGGGGGTGTCGTAAAATCACGTCGGCGGCCATATAGTCGGTGAATCGGGGTCCGTTCCCAGACGCCGCGCCGTAATCAGCCACTCTTCGCCGCCTATTCCCTCTTGGTCGTCTTTTTTCCTCTCACCTAATCCTTCCCCTTTTTCCTTCGCTTTTTTTTATCTTCGATCAATCTGTTTTATTCTAACGATGAGGGGATAAGACTGAGAGCAATATTTATCGTGTCATAGATAAAGGAGGGTTGAATATATTTTACTTTGAAGTTTCGAAGAGAGGTTTGAAAGTGATCGCGGGAAATATTCTAAAATGCTTTACTCGGTTTCGTACTGTTTTTTAATTAATGTTGAGAATCTCTAATACAATGTTTCGTTGGGAATTAATTATGTATTGATAACATTGTGTATAAATTGTATTTTTGTATTCATCGCATGCGTATCTTTTGACATTGTGAGGAAAATTCTGGGTGATTCTTTCCTTTTTGGTTTTTTGCCCTACAAAATTCAGTACAATCAAATACTGTTTCATCCTATTATTTAGAACTAAATGGAACTTCATTTAATTACAGATTCTTTCAAATATCCCTTGAAAAACGTAAATGACTATAAAGATCCACACTCCATTTATCATTTCACCATCCCGCGTTTATCTACAAGCAACAGTCTTTCACGAGAAAAAATTCGCAGAAAGACATCACAGAAAGAATTATCATTCATCTATCGTTCCCCAGCTCGAGACCAATATTTCGTGCGTCTCGATTTCTATTTGCGCGTAGCGTCTCCTGTTAAGAGTTTCACGAGAATCAAACGATACACAGTATGTTTCACTTTTATTCCACCCCAAAAAAAATACTTCACCCGAACGTTTTATTAAAAAGTTACAATAAAGAGTTTTTATCTCATAAAACGACAGTTTACTATTCATGTCAGTTGTTTATCCTTAAGAACAAGACACTTCAGTAAGCATAACCAATCGATCCAACAATGAAGCCAGTCATTTCCAAACTTTGTATGTTCCATATAACCTAATACAGCATTTACGATCTTCTATTCATAAAACATTCCTAGCTTATTTTCAGAAACGAAACACCCTGTATGCATAATGTTACAGACGCTGCTCCTATACGGTTCTCTCAGCTCTCCCTTCGCGGCCGGCCCCATTTCGCCCGTTTCTCTCCTCTTCCTTTTTCTTTTCCATCTCCCCCGTTCCTTCCAGGCCGCGCGGCGATCATGAGCTGCTGTAGCACACCGCGCGACGATCGTCTTCCTCCTGCTTCTTCTTCTTCTTTCCCCGACTCCTGTGGCTTCTGTAACGGTGACGCGGGCTTTCCGTTACACGAACCACCGTGCGCCGCGCCGAGGCTGTTCCAGCCTTTTCCCTTCCTCGACTTCGGTCTCCCTGCGTCCTCTCCCATGTTCTACGTCCGTCGTTGCATTATGGATGCAACGGGTTGCGCCGGACGAATGAAAGAACCCATGGCCGAACGTGTTCCTTACAGCTCTTGCTCGGGGAACTACTTTTCTTCTTCTCCCTCCTCCTCTCCTTTTTCTTCTTCCTTTTCTAGCTAGCCAATCCTCCAGGTCCTTCAGACCGTTTTCTCCTTCTCTTGATTATCCTTTATACTCTTTAAGACTCACTAACTTATCTATTCCCCATCCTCTATTTAGATAAATTTCCTATCTGCGGTTCCTTTTCTTCTTCATTTTCTGGCTATTCAATATTCCACGTTCTTCAAATCGTTTTCTCTTTCTCTTGATCATCCTTTCTCCTTTTTACGACTTTCTGGCTTGCCTATCCTCTTTACCTTCTATTTATATACGTTTCTTTGTCGTTTCCAGGTTCTCCAAGCTGTCCTCCTCCTTCTCTTGATCATCCTTTCTCCTGTTTAAGACTTTCTAACTTATCCTCTAAGAGATCTAGCCTTTTCTCTATTCAGATACATTTCCTCGCTGCCGTTTTTCTTCTTCCTTCTCTAGCCATCCAATCCTCCAGGTTCTCGAGACCGTTCTTCTCCTTCTCCTGATCCTCCTCCCTCCTCTTCCATAATCTCCGACGAGCCGATCCTCCTCCCCTCTATTTAGGTACGTTCCCTCGCCGCTTTTTCCTAATCAGCTTTTTCCTCTTCTTCCTCGTCCGTCCACGCGTGACCGTTTCCATCCGCGGTGCCGTTACCTACACGCACGCAATGCCAGGTTTTTTGGTTGTTAGAAGGAAGGAAGGCTTCGTTGAACCGTGATCTCATCTGCTCCATTTGGATCGCGGTGTGGAATCGCGTGGTGACGGGACGTAAAGGCGACTGTTTATGGAGAATCGTGGCTTCTCCGTCTTTCTCGTTCATTCTCCGTTTGGATTAGCGCGCCTTTTTCTTTTGGAGAACGCTTGGGACGGATGAGCATGATTAGTGATGGAGAGGCAAGGCAGAAATGATCGCTTGTCGATTTGTTCGTGGTTCTTTGGTTTGTTTGGCAGGATGATTGATCTTTTTGCAAGGAATTTAGTTTCCAAAATAAAACGCAAAATACTTTCTTCATTTTGAAGAAATAATCTTTTTGTAGTTCTTATCATTTCATCTCTTAACTCAAACTATAAACCAGCGGACTCCGATTTCCTTAATCACACATAGATAAGTAACGAAGGCCATAATCAAGTTAATTGAAAGTGCTGGAACTTCGAATCACTCATTATCACAGAACTTTCTCCCATCGAAACGTTTGCAACGTATAAAACCATATTACTATAGACATACTACTAAGTAATGGGAGGAATAAATCAGTGTTTAAAAAGTTCGGGTTGTCAGTGAAACTTTTAATTGAACACAGTCAAACTAAACGTTAATCAAAAATGTGCATTCCATTGCTTCCTATGGTATTTAATTACTCCAATTTAAAGCCTTCGCATTTAAATGTTCCATTATTTTGTAATTCGATATTAATTGGATTGTCATTACTTTTACCAAATACAAATGCAAGATGCAGAATGAAATATAAAATGCAATTAAATTCAATATTGCTTTTATTCCAATGTTAACGCATTAATGTTACCTATGAAAAGAAGTAAACATCAAGAAAATGTTATCTCGCAGAAATAATCGCGTTCTAACTGCGAACGGAAGCCGAAGACATGTGTTATTTTAAGACCTCATTGTTCGAAGTTCCTTTACGCACTTCTTGATTCAGCGAGGCTGAAGAAGGTGATTTTAGCGCAACAGCGTACCTTAGCTCTGCGAATGACGATCGCGTTGCATAACGCAGCTGTTTGTTTTGTTTTCCAGAACAACACTACGCGGCCGCAGATTCGAACAGTTCGACGCCCGCGAAGAGTTTCGTGGCCTGTAGAGTTTGCGGTGACAAAGCGAGCGGTTATCATTACGGCGTGACCAGCTGCGAGGGTTGCAAAGTGAGTATAAAATGTAATCGCTTACTTTCGTTTTACCAGAAACTTAAAAAAAGAATAGAGAAACGATTAAACGATCCTCAACGATAGTTTTATTAAAATATTTATCTTTTCACATGTTGTATATTTTCTTATGATATGAATGCTCGAATATCTGCAATTTATTGGGTATTAGTTAATGTGATTGTGTATATTACTTTATATATGAAGAAAATTTAAGGATTTTCTTCGTTCCAGCTATGAAACCAATTCTTACAGCGTTGTCTACAAATTTTATACAAGAACACCATGTAGATGCATACGTTTAGAAATCAGTAAGCAAAGGATCACATATGAATCAGAGATGAATTAGAAATTAATAATAAATATACATGCACAACACGTAAAAATACTCCCTACATCGTAATCCTCGAATGGTAGGCTTACACAATCGGAACTTTGATATCCCGGCAATTAATGAAATTAATTTCGAAACTGTCACTTTTTATTGGGCGAATTAAGTAGCTTTCAATATTCGAACTATGAAAAAAGTCTATCCAATACAATCGTCAGAATCCTCAATCTAAAAAGAGACGTCGGCAGTTTCATATTTATTAGCATTAATTTACGATCCTTATCTTTATGTAACTTGTTTAATATCGCAGTAACGTTGCAATCATGAAGTTGGAAAACTGATTATACAAACTTAGCCATGAAATCGTGAGTGGATACATGGTACGCCACGCGGCGCGAGAAAGAAAGACACTCGGACGGAACTTTCTACACTGAGAAACATAATTACACATCGTAAACTTCTCTCTATCTCGAACTGCTCCTCTAACAAGATCGACTTCAACGCATCGCTTCCACCCGAGAAAGTTGCGCAGTTGTTATAAAAACAATTTTTCTCTTCCATAGGACCTGTACATCACCGGTCTCCTCTACTTTCGACTTATTCACGCATCTACCACTGTTTCTTCCAATGTTGAGCATTATTCGAATGAAACTTTATTTGAATGACGATAAATTATAGATAATTAATTATTATTCGGTTATTTATTATTCAAGTTGTTCGTTACTGTTATTAATTATTATATATTAATTATTCGTTATTCCTAAGTAACAGTTACATTGAATTTATTGCTGAAGAAAGGACTAACGAAAAAAATTCAGTTTGTTTGCTAATTGCAAATAACGAACAATTAACCCTTTGCGGACGAAATTTTTTAAACTTTTGAAAACTTGTCCACAAAAAGGCTGAGTTATGTATGAAAATTTTTAACGCTAGAAAAATAACCAGATATCGAACTTTTGATATTTGAACAATTAAATTCATTTGCAGCATTCGAGTTTTAATATCTAAACTTGAAGTCCTTATTGTAACGGCATTCGACTGCAAAGGGTTAATACATTCATTATTCGTGGATAATAAATTGAATTTATTCGTCACCCTTTGTTCGGTATTTCGAAGAACTTTTGCCCAACACTGGTTGCCTCAATAGAATGTCGTACATTCCAGTGAATTGATTTTCCCTTCTTCGTATTTCCGCTCGATCTTCTATATTTGCCTGACTTCCCTACTTGCAGATTCTATTCTACGTTACGCGATTCGTGTCGCAGGAAAATGATGGCTTTTGTCACGGGGCACTTTCATTCAGTTTTTCAATAATGATAGGGCAATATTCTATTGAAGGCGCATAACTGGAAAATTGGTGCATTCCTCGAATTCCTTTTCAGCCCGTAACAGCGTGATAAAGATTTATTGATTTTCGATTACTTTAACACAATATTGCAAAGTACTTGAGTAAAGAAAGATCGAGTTCAAATTGGATACTCCTTTAACTAAGGTGAAATTAATCAGTGATCGCGAAACGTCCATAAACTATCGACGTGATAAGTAAACTGAAAATGTTCATGCAAATTCACAATTTATATATTCATTTACATTGTTACTATCAAATAGAGATTCTGTTTTTCCACTGAATATTTCAGTGGGTTCGAACACAATAATTATATACGAATAATAAAGCTTCATTAAAGCTCAACAGTTCAACAAATCATAGATGAAATATTTTCTAAAGACAAATTTTAAATGACTGTTTTTTAAAGCATTTTTAAATTTCATACAAAATTGAATTTTAATTATGTTTCATGGTTTAATTTATACTAATTATATTTAAGGAGAGCTTTCCGTAGCGAATAAATGAAAAATACGATATATTTATTAATACTTTCCATGTTAACAATACAATATTTGTTTAATTGTAAGCCTTGAGTTATACTCGGCTAATTCCATGTAATAATTTATCGTATTTAACACGCTACGTTAATTATCCTACAGTCTCTTTTATTACTTTGTAGCTCAGCCAGTTTAGAAAGTACGTTAAAATAAAAACTTCATCAAAATATAAACTCGCATAAATGTCAGCAATTTATTTTATTACACTCGAAGTACCGTCATTATATGTGGCGAAGCAAGTCGTAACTGTGTTAGCATGAAGACCTTACGATCTCTAAAATAAGATTGAAAAAGAAAAGGAACTGCCATGATACTTGCAAAAGGTTCAGACATTTTTTAAGACCAGTTATCAGCAAGGATATCAGAATCTAATACAAATCTAATCGTCTTGGACAAGTTTCATGAGGTCAATTTTTTTAAAAATAATTTTTACCGCTCTTATCTAGTCCCAGTTATGACCAGAACGGTAAAAATCAGTAGAACTACGTCTTAGGTTCAGTAAAATACGAATGTTCGTAGGCGTCGCATCCCGTCGACCATAAATTCGCCTCTTCGAGACGATTTATTGCCATCATCTGTATAGATAGTCGATCGATCTGCGACGCGTACTTTTCCTGATTCACAGTGATAGCGTGTAAGTGAATTAGTGACAATGATCGGCATATATTTTACTCTGCTCACTACAAGTTCTTCGTAGTCTATATTCATAATTTTCTAATGAAACTTTGATTAAATTTTTCACTATACTAAACAGAAATAATTTTCCTTGTTTAAAGTGATAATACAAAAGTGATTTAGTAACAGTGACCAACACATTTAACCCTTTGCACACTACAAATTCTTCTCTACATATTATTTATACTCTTCTAATGAAAAATTGATTGATATTTTTCACTGTACTAAATAGAAATAATGCACGAATCAAGAGGTGAAAATAGTTTATTTCAATGTTTCATGTTTAATTACATAATATCAAATCTGACATTGAATATCGAATTTCATAATTTTGCTATGCAGGATGCTCAAGGAAATACTCGGGCTTAGGGCATCGCCCTCTGCTCGTTGAGTGTGCGCGTGCATACATGAGACCGAGCGCTCAGCTGACTGGAGTTTAAACAGCACGCTAAACAAGTCGAGCATTCAGTTATCAATTATATATTTTTCGAAATCCGAGCTTCAGTCTGCAAAATCGCTCAAAGACTTTCCTATTTGCTTTCGTGCGAAGCGTGCACGTCTTTTGGATTATTGTCGGACAATTACGATTCATCAATAATTGCATTAACATTATTAATTGAAAATGTTAAAATTACTATACAATAATAATTGCATTGACGTTAGTAATTGCAAATATTACAATTACGATTCAATAATAGTTTCATTAACATTATTAATTATAAATATTACAATGACGATTCATCAGTAACTATATTGACATCAATACTAAAAATACGGACGTTTATTTCACATTTAGTGTAAAAGTTTAGTAGTTCACAGTATTACAAGGCATACTCGCATAATCGCACAAATCAAAATCAGCTCAAACAGTCACTAAACGATGTTTAAAAATTTCGATGTCCATCAAACTAACGGGTTCCGTAAATCTAGTGCCAATAACTGCAAATACTACAATTCCAAATACGAATAATTAATAATAACAAACAGTATCAATAACTAGTAAAATTAGCGTCCAATTAATTCAACAACGTTTCATGACAGCTTCTTTCTCTCGGCAGCTCAGAAATAGCAAATTGCACCATTATTATTCCGAGCCACTCAACTTTCCATCGGTTTTCTTCCATCGATAAAGCAAAATTCACTCGAGGCAAGGGGTGCTGCGATGTGCACGCGGCTTAATCCCGCTGCAAGATGCACATCCGCCGGTGCTCCACGGCTGAGATTGAAACACGGAAGCCCTAAGGCCAGAGTTAACGGTGAATTGGTACATTCTCGCGCTCCCACCGACACAACCGTGTATACTGTATACCTGGACTAGAGTCAGCGGGTGCGCTCTCTCGCGGCTGCATCAACACGCGAGAGCTCGCTTCTTTCCAATATGGTAAAATTAATTTCCCAGCCGGGAAATGTATGCGCGTCCCTTGTTCCCCGTGTCTCCCGCGTCCCGTTTGTTCCGCGGGTTCGCAAGTCGTGAAAGCAAACGATCTTGTTTTTGTTTACCAGAGAAATTGAGCCGGGGATCGGTAACCAGCGAAAGAATCCGGTGAATTACAGTAAACCCGCATATAACGCGAGTTCCCGCGACGCGAATTCCTATAACGCGCGGAAGATTTTGCGATCGCCGTTTTCATGTATGTAGGATTGCGACAACGTAGTGGCACTTTAACATTAACGAAAGATCATTAAGAAGTTACCTGCGTTTGAGTATACACGTCATGTTAAAGCTTGAAGCGATACTAATCCTTTCAGCGATGAACTAGTTATTTTTTCAGATACACAGGCAATTCTTCTTCGTTTTACTTTAGTATTTCGTTAGAATATATTATAGATACGTTTGCAATGCGTTCAACGAATATGTACTTTATTACTTAATTTTATTGCGAGCATTATCACAAATTTCTGAAATTAAATTCTACAGTTAACAGGTTAAATACGGGTAGACTTTAGGAATTGTTTTGTTAATATTCAGTGGAAACTTTTGACATTTTCCGGGTGTATAGCTGTAACCTCCTACCTTATATTTATATTTTTTCTAAGACAGAAGGTTACAAAATGGTGCAGTTATCTCGCTAGCTTCGGAACCCTTTTTCCTAAAGCAACCATTGTTGGA